ATGAGCGGCTCTCCGTGCTCCAGGCCACCCTGCAGGGTGAAGCCCCACGGCGCTCCTCCATGCAGCCGGGCCTCCACCAACACCCAGCCGCCTCCTTCTCCTCCACCGCCCGCCGCCTGCTGGAGCCCCGCCCGGCCACCGCTCTCCATGCCTGGCCAGGGGGAGCGCACACTCCCGGCTCCTATGTCCTCAGCCTGAGGAGGATAAAGTGGAGGTGGAGGGGAGGGGGGACCGGTATGAAGAAAACGAGCTGTCCTTCACGAGTGCATTGCCGTCATTCATTTATAACTCCTCGTTAAGAGCGAAGAGAGCAGGAGGTGTCCGTGCACCGAGTCGCGTTTCCTGCAAAGTGCATTCCTGGAGCGCGCCGAGCGGCGGTTCCTCCGCCGGAGAAACTCCTAAAAAACACCCCGAAACTTCTCCGTAGGAGTCTGAAATGAGTCCTAAAAGTTTACGGAGAGGAGAAGGCCATCAAATTTCCACATGAACGAGAGGCAGCCCGAATCAGATCTGCTCAAACACAAATCCAAACCTACTCTCCCTCTCTCTCTCCCTCTCTCTCTCTCTTTCTGTGTGTCTCGTCCAAAAATCAGTTTAGCATCACAATAGGATTTACTGCGACTCACTGAGCGAGGAGAAAGGAAAGAGACAGAAGGAGGGGAGAGAGAGGGAGGGACAGGAGAGGTAGAAGAGGAAACAGAAACTCTGAGAGAACGGAGAGTTTAAAAAAAGGTGTGAATTAAAGAAGGACACTGGGATAAAAAGCTGAGTGTTTCCTGTGTCTGTCTGTGTGTGTGTGTTGATGAGCAACAATCCAATCCTTCGCAACTGAATCTGAATCCTTTTCTATTCACACTGGAGCCAGATTACTGGATTTAAACTGGATTAAACTTCCTGGTGGATCAAATCGTTTACACGCTGAACAGTAAACTGACAAAAAGCCAGAATATAAGCTTACTTTATTTATCCTTTCTTAAAACACATTAAAAACATACCATACGGCTTAAAATACAAAAAAAAAATTAAGATCATCTATATCCCCCCCCCCCCCAAGTTTGTAAACTTCTTTGTTACAGCAGTTAAAAAAATGAAACACAACAGTGTAAGAGTAAGACAGAACAAATGTCCCAGCGAGGTATAAAACCAACATGGACCGAATGGACTTCTTATATAGTGCTTTTACACTTAAATGCTCAAATCTCTTCATACAACATGCCTCATTCACACATTCACATCAGCACCTTTGCTTAAGTGCTCTCTTTCTAGCATTCACACTCCCATGGATGCTTTGGGTTCAATATCTCGCCAAAGGATACTTTGGCATGCAGACTGGAACAGCCAGGGATCAAACCACAAACCCTCTGATGACCTACTCTACCTCCTGAGCTACAAACACCCCTAAAAATAAATACAATAAAGTAAAGGGGGGGGACTTTAACAGTAACTTCACAAACTTGCAAAGTCATGTAAACTTCATTGGTATCATGATCACGGCTTTGTGTTTTGTGGATGATGTGGTGTTTTTTTGGCTTCATTGAGTGGTATCCTCCAAGTCTGAGGTCATGGTTCTGAGCCAGCAAAGGGTGGTGTTCCCACTCTGAGTGGGGCAGTAGTTGCTGTCCCAAGTGGTGGAGCATCTTTGTGTCTTCTTCTTCTTCTTGGGGTGTCTGCAGTGAAATGCGTGCTTTACAGCTTTGTTGCAGAGAGTAGACAGCTGTTGATTTACTCGTCAGCATATATTCCTACCCTCATCTGTGACCACGAGCTGTGGATTGAAGTCGCAGAAGTCGCTTCTTCTAAAGGGTGTCTGGGTTTGGGACGTAGAGGAGGTTGTTCACTAATCGGAAGGTTGGTGGTTCAATCCCTGGCTGTTCTAGTCTGCATGCCAATGTATCCAAGGTAGCTAACTCCAAATTGCTTTCATTCACCATAGTATAAATGTTAGCTAAAAAGAATCTGCACAAAGTAAATCAAGCCCTTATTATTTGGTTTACTGCTCTTTTTGAGCATTTTTTTTCTAATGAGCTAATTCAGTGGCTTGTGATACTAAAAATAACACATTTGAAACGTTTGAACGTCATTAGCAAAGTTGTTGTGATGCCATAAATCTATCCTGTCAGTCCATGAAAGGGACTTCACAAAGACACTTTTGTGTTCCACATTTTGTTTTCTCTCACTTTTATTTGTGGATTACATTTTAATTACTAAAAAATTACAAATTTCAGTCACCTCTCACATCATTAACACCATGTGTTGAAAGACGATGTATCCAACGTGTTTAAATGTGACGCCAAATGGTCCTTTATGTCCATATGTTTGTGAGTTGGTGGGTGGAGAGCTTTGGCTTGAGCTGGGTGTGTTAGCACTTAGGAATGTGGTTTCAGTGAATATCATCAAGTGTATCATCTAACAAAGGGTTAGAGGTCACAGGGTTACTATCGAGAGTAGAGAGTGAAAAGGCTTCAGGTGACACAGTGACGTTTTTCACCTGAAGCTCAGCCTGCAGGTCAAACAGGTGGCAGGTGAGTCAGACACAGGTGTCAGTATGACTCTGTCCTATCTGCTTCATTCGCAGGTAAATCTTTTAAATTCGAGGGTATTGGATACTATTTAGTGTTTGCATTGTACAAATACTGTGTAATACATTCAGGACAAACTCCACAGGAAGAGACTATCATCCACACAGCTGTAGTTTCTGAGGCATGACAGATATATGGAAGCTGAGGCCGGTGCTAAGGCTGAACTATGTTAAGAGATTGCCATCTAGTGGATGGCAAGAGATTTACAACCAAAAGGCTGTAAAATACCAACGGTATTTGACCTTTTTTGCCCTTATCAATCTTGATAGTATGGATTGGGCATATCAAACTTATTTTACATTGTGAGCCACAAAGAGCCCACTTTGATCTTAAGTGGGCTCAACCAGTAAGACTACTCTTTCTGTCAGTGTAAACATGTTTAACCCATTTAGTATGAAAGGAAGTACAATTTCAACAATACAGCTCAGCTTTCTACATGATAAAAAAATGCTACTGTAGTAAATGCAAGACATCTATAAAAAAGATCTGGTAGCTGGTAGTAGATAGTGAAAACTGGAACTTTTCTGATTGTTATTTATCTCTTATTTAATTACTTTGGTGCAGTATGAATGTCATTTGGAGATCTTAATCAGTAGGAAATTCTGTGAAACTTATGAAAATACAGCTAAAAGTCCGAAATCTCATTCACATTTTTCAGATCGTGATCTCATTCAGGCTGATTGTGGCCCCTGGGCCTTGTATTGACGATGGCATGATGTTTTTGCTTCAGTCATGTTCCAATAAATATTTACTAATTACATTTTTTTTTCCAGCTGCATCTTTAAAAATGTTTTTGTGTTGCTTTGAGCCCAGTGCTTCCTGACTGTTATAACTCCAAAACCTCTTCTTATAAACTGCTTGAGCTCATTTTAAAATGAATATGAACTGCTTGGCTTAAATGTACTTTTATAAAAAGCTACTTAACAGCAATATATTTCAAGTTAAAGTAGGTTTTAAACACATCCCTTGGATGGGAATCGCTGCCAAGTTGAAAGGTCGACTGTAACTTATATCGTGTTGTTCAAATCAGAGCTCAAGTTAAACCAGGTTTGATGTGTCAAAGAACAAAATGAATAAAGGTTTGCAAATGTAGGTTTATTTGAACAAGAACGTTCACAGTTACTGTGATTCTGATAAGGCACTGAATCGAATTTAAACAAACGCCAGCCAAAAAGAAAAGTAATTACATAATAATAACAATAATAATAATAATAATAATGATAACTAAACTGTTAGTTATAGCATGTGCTGCAATTGTTCAGTATTGCATCAAAACCATTTATACTTTCCAAAAGGAAAAAAAAAAGTTGTTTTTTCAAAACTCTTTACATGTTGACATTTTTTCATTTTAAGATAAGTTTATACAATTTTAACAAAAGTAACAATTCTGGCTTTGTAAAAAAAAAAAAAAGATGAAGCAAATTATTTAAATATTATGACACAATAGGATTAGAACAAGTTAAATAAAGAGGACACACATGAAAAGTTTGATTACATTTCTACAGGATCTGTGGTCAGTCACTGCCAACAGCGCAGCTCTTTAAGATGTCGGTTTGTTGACAAAGTGCTCAACCCATCTTTTCCTTTGGCACTTTCAAAGGACTCTCGATCAATAAAGTCTTTATACGTGAATGTCACAACCAAGTCTGAAATTACACAGAGGACTGAGCGTAGTTTCACTGTATCTCTGTAAACACTGAATATGGGCCTGGTGATGCTGATTTTAAGTGGTGGATGTACCAGTTTGGGATGAACCTCATCACTTTGGGATAAATCTGTACAGGACAAAGACGCCTCAGCTTGCTGTAGTGTTCTCAAACAATTTCTAAATAAAACTCAGTTTGCTGTTATCTATGACATCCGTGCATAATCTGCAAGAAGGGCTTGCAAAATTTCAATAAAGTGCAGAATTAGGGAGCCAGGAAGTGAATTATATACATTTAATTAGTGTTTATATAGTACCTGTTCACAAATCTGTGTTTTTGTTTAGAAACTGATTTGTATATTGGTTTAAATGTTTCTACAGAATTTGGAAACATTTCTTAGCACAGGCTATACATATTAAGTTTAATCATAGCTTGTGCAAATCATGTTATTTTCATGACTTTGCATAAAATGCTAAAAGTGCTCCTGTCACATTAATGCTTATCAGCTATATTGCTGCTTTCAGTGTATGTTACAGTATTACTTACATAGTTAGGTTTTTTCCCCCAGAAATGTGGGGTCATGTGTTTATTGTTAGTTTTTTTTTTTTTTTTTTTGGGGGGGGGGGGGGGGACTTTACAATTGTTCTTGCTGACATATTTATCATGTTTGTGATGACAGTGTTCAAGACAGTTCTGAATTGCGGTGAAACAGTTTTCTGTGAGTTTTAGGTCACTTTATGTCACAGCATCTACGTCCACATTAAATCTAAAGCCGAATGCCACAAGTGTTTTATTTAATCTACATTATCAATGCTGTGTTTTGATAAGCATTCTAAAAAAATGAAATGTGGGTTTCTCACTATTTAAGCTGTTTAGCTCAGTTCATTTCTATTCTGCATGATGTGTATGAACAGGAAGTGAAACAGCTCCATGTTGGAAGAGCCCCTGAAAACTGAAATCAGGGTTATTATGATCATTGTACCAAATTTTTGAGATTAAAGAGTCACAGCTATTAGAAGAGATGATCACGAGATCTAGACTCGGGCTGAAATGAAATGAATGAATAAGCACACTAAACATCCTCCGACATGCTGTGAATCGTCTCTATTATCTTCTTCTTCAGCTTCCTCACTTTGTCAGGCGGCGTCTCATTCAGACACTCCTCCACATACCTCAGGAACCCTGCGTGTGGGGACGCTGCTTGGGTCTGACATAGTGTCCTCATGAGGTCCAGCACCTCGGTGGTGGTCCCCCGGTGGCTCCCACGCTTGCGTCCAGATACTCTGCTGTCTGTGTGGGAGGAAGATGTGGAAGGGGAGGGGGACGAGGAAGGGGAGGAGTGCTGGGAGTCTGGGGGTGTAGGTGAGGGTGGGGCTTTGAGACCCCGCGTGTTCAGTTTGGAGACAGTTTGGTTGGTGGCACGGTAGTGTAAGGGGGGAGGTGGGGCTTGGCTGACCATATGGAGGAGACTGGTGTCCTGCAGCTGGCAGAAGTGGACGTCCTCGGGCTGCTCATCCTCGTCGCAGGAGTCGCAGAGGAACATGAGGTCACGGTAGTGCTTCCACTTTGGGAGGTAGAAGTCCTCCGAGCCGCACGTTTTGTTGGAGCTCACCGCCTTGTGTTCACGCTGGAAGATGGTTCGCAGGTTCCTGAACTTCGTCTTTATGTCTTCCACTGAAGGATGAGAAATGACAGAGACACTGTGAGTTCAGATTAAAGGCTCCGTGTGGTGACAACATTAAGGCGGCAGGAGTGTTACCTGTGAATGAGACCGGCTCGTTGTTTGACAGGATGCTGCTCAGCGTCTCCAGCAGGCTCTGTCTCAGCAGACGGTTCCTGTAACTCTCAGATTTGTGGTTCCACAAACAGCTGTGCTCTGGAACAGAAGAATTCTCACATCAAACCTTCTCGTGCAACTTTTTTAACCATGCATGGCAGTGTCTGAGACGTACAGCGACTCTCTCAGCTGCCTCTAACAGCTATGACCACTATAACCAAACACGCAGCTCCCAGCACATCACTACAAACTCCACAGAAGAACAAAAATCTAACATCTCTCTGTTGCAGTGATAGATGTAACATCCAGGGGGTAAGTCTAAAGGGTAACAAGCATTCATAGTGAGTGGTGCCACCTACCGGAGTAAAATGAGATGAGCTGCTGAACTTTGGCCTCGCTCCAGAGGCAGCGGGTGTCAGCACTCAGTCTGTTGTCTGGCTGAACCGAACTGGCTGTAGAGAAATTTAAAGGGGAGCGGTTGGTACAGGATCTGGTGTCTGGCAGTGAACTGGATGGAGAAGTTGGCAGCGTGGAAGTGGCTGATTGGCTGCTTAGTCTGAGGTTATCCGGAGCTGCAGGGAGGAACATTTGATACCCTGCGCTTGTCCCGGTTTTGGCATCGCTCTGAGTGGAGCTGGAGGGGGCAGAGGCGGTGCTGAGTTTGATGCTGCTGGTTTGGTTGGAGCTGGAGGAGAAACTGCTCAGGGTGGAGGACGGGGTCTGGTTTCCGTGCTCCCGATCCTTGTCTTCTTGCGGCGTCAGAATCTGCAGATCTTCAGAGCCGTCGTCTTCGTCGCAGGACTCGCAGAGAAAAAGCAGCTGCTGGTAGTGTTTCCATTTGGACACGTAGGGTTTGTCAGATGCCCTGCTTGCCTGGACCGCCTTGAACTCGCGGTTAAAAACAGTTCGTAGGTTCTTGAACTTGCACTTTATATCTTCAACTGCAAAAACAGCAACACAGCATCACTTTATGCTGGAAAACTGAAAAATTTAGCAGCTCAGAGCTTCTGGAGATTGAAGAACACAAACATGACTTTATTATTTTGAAATAAAATTGTTTTTCTTTCATTTTCTATGCAGACATCTAACTGTATGAAATCACTGTGTGTGTATATTTCAGCTTATGTTAAAATGACGTAAACATATATAAAGGAACAGTTCCACAAATGAGCTGTGGAGAGTGATAATTAGTATTTCCCAAAGATTTACAGTCTGTGCTTTGGGTGAGTGGTACTCACACTGTTAAATTGCTCCAGTGCAAATCTTTTAATTACAGAGTACTTTGAGACACACAAACTATGGAGAGGTATGATAAGCACAGCTCACAGGGCTATAACTGCTGGGAATGGTGGTCCATTTCAGTAGAGCAAGAGTACATCCTGTGAGCAGGGGAATGGCATTTTCTCTCAATAACGGCAGAGAGTAGGGTAAAAATAACACTATTAAACAAAAAGACCAACATTTGTCTAAACGGAAATAAAACAACATTTATATCCTTCGGTTTTTCCTATGGTGAAGCTATAAGAAAAGTAAACAGCACATTTCCTATAATCAGCACTGACTGGTCAGTTAAGGATTTACAATGGGACGTTCTGTCCTGACGGTGCCACTTTCCAAACATTAACTAGTGGTTTGAAGGATAGTTAAATCACAGCAGAGACCTGCATGGTTGTATAGGAAGCTGCTGGTAGTTGAAGGTGTCTGACTTTCTGCCATAAAGGTTTATAAGGTGCTGTAGCGTCACTAATGCACACAGAAAGAATTTTTACTACAATCAAATCCTCTAAAATTCCCCAAACTGAACTCTATTGTTCATGTCATCATGTCTATCAATAACATGGAAAATTTCCATAGAGCCTCATTCACTCTTTACGAACTGCAGCCATTTCTGTACAATGGGATTAACAGGATGTGGAATAACTCTCCTCGACTGGCTGAAAGCCCAATCCAGGAGAGCCATTGAAGGTTTATAAAGAAATCTTACCAAAATATTGAATTATTTCTTTAAAGGCTTCCAAAATAACTAAACTTATCAAGAGAATGTGAAGAAGCAACTGCCATTCAAAAAAAGTGATGTTGAGGAGACATTAGCTGAAGCTGAACTGGAGCTGGGCTCTGCTTTCATGTAATACCAGTTTGTACCACAAGATGGGGCAGCCAGTCAATGTAACCTTTATTTAACCTGTCAAATTTCTTAAAGAGGAAAGGGCAAGGCTGAAAAGAACTACCACACATCAGAAAACAATACAGCCACCAGTAAACCGCCCCCTAGTGGTGGAAGTTTTAGCCTAAATTCACATACACTAAATAAAAAAGTAGCTTTAAAGCAGGGACTGTTCAACTGGCAGACACAAGCACTCAAACAGTCTGAGGTATGCAATTAGGTGAAGAATCCTGAGTTTGCTACTTCTGTAAGAAAACAACAGAAAAAAAAAGTGAAAAACGGTGATGCTTACCTGAGAACGACACTGTGTGGTCGGACAGCTGGCTCCTCAGAGCCTCCAACAGCCTCAGTCTGAGCTGACGGTTGTTGTGGTTTTCAGACTTCTTGTTCCAGAGACAGTTGTGCTCTGTCGAAAAGAACACACAGGAATCCCATCAGCTGTGAAACTACTCAAAACGTTACTTAATCTGAGGTTTTTGTCTACGTATGTACTGCTCTTCAGTAAAAACTCATGATTTTGAAGATGAAAAAGATCTTTTGTTTACCACAATAGAAAGAAATCAGAGCTCGCTCCCTCTCTTCAGTCCAGTAACATTTAATCATGACACTGGAGGGAACACAGGTGGACGAAGAGGAGGCAGACGAGGTGGACGGGGTGGGGAGGAAGGAGATGATGAGTCCTGGGGAGGTGAGGACAGGCTGGCCCTCTTCCTGCAGAGGGTTCAGTGGTGACAGCGGCGGCTCACCGGCGGCGGGGTCGTCCTGGTCCCAGCAGCCCTGCAGGAACATGAGCTGATGGTAGTGCTTCCACTGCGGCACAAACTCGTCGTCTGGGTTGCACGCCTTACTTGCTTTAACCATTTTGTACTGACGCTGAAAAGTCGTACGGAGATTCTTGAACTTGTTTTTGATGTCTTCCACTTGGGAAAAAAACCCATATAAATTAGTTAAAGGGTACATCTGACTGTCAAACCTCACACTCGTCAGCTGATGAGCACACCCCGGATCCTGTTTTCTAACTTTTAGAATAGCAATAATTTGAAACAATGGACTTAATATTTTACTAAAAATATTCAACTAATGACTGAGCCATCAGGAAAGTGGTTACTGAGGCCACAGAGACTCACACAGAAGCTTGAATGGGCTTACCCTCAGCCCAGTGCTACAAAGCGAGCTCAACATACCCACTGACAAGCAGCATAAGCGGTTACACAAAGCTGGTTAACAACTTGCTAAGTTTACCCAGGGCTTCCCCTGTGTGTACACATGAAAGGGGTGTTGGCAGTGCCTGACCACAATTACTGATAAGTGTACTGGCAACAGAGCAGCTGATTTTTCAAAGTAAGATGAAACTTGTACTATGAGATGATATGAAGAGGTTAACCACACAATACAGACGGAAAGGAACAGCAGTGTGTGCAAGAGAGGAAAAGCACGATACAGTAATATCGTATTAATGGTCTGTACTTTTTTTATTAATCCTTTATTTATCCAGGTAAAAAATTTCATTGAGATTAAAAATCTCATTTCCAAGAGAGACCTGGCATCATGGCAACAAAAGTCACATACCACATAGGTATATACTTAAAGTGCTTTGATCAGTAAGACTGGAAAAGAGCAGCTATCTGACACCATGTTTAAATGGTTTCATTCTTTCAGCTGCAGTTCAACAGCCAGGGTAAACAATAAATATAAAAACAGAATTTAAACTTAGGCTGAGACTAAGTGGAAATAAACCCAGAATGTACAAACAGCTGTCAAACCTGTCACATGTCAAAAATTATATATAGTTTTGTCAAAAATCATCTAACCTTTTTTATTCTTTTCAGATGCTGCCATCACCACCCTTTCATGAGAACGTCCTCTTAGCTCAATAAAGCCGGTGTTAACTTACCGACTTGATAACCACCTGTGTTACTGCTCTGCCTGATTGCCGTTGTTAGGATAAATGAAGCCAGATAACCAAAATATATCCTGGGTATTGCTGAGCTTGCTTCCTAGTACTGGGCACAGAAATTCCCCTGCTAGCCATTAATGAGAATGCAGGTTTAAGGTTTTACTTTTATTACACACACAGTCTATGAGTTTGACAGATTTGGTTTATTTTCCTGCTGATTTACCTGTGAATGGGACTGGAGGTGGAAGAGTTGACAGCAGGATCCTTAGTGTTTCCAGGGTTTTCCATCGCAGCTGCCGGTTCTTATAACCCTCAGACTTGTGGTTCCACAGACAGCTATGCTCTGAGAAATGAAACAAAGAAGATATAGCTAAAATAACTGCAGCTTCACAGGGTCTAGAGTGTGATAAACTAGAATAAAATCATAACAAACTTGTACTCTTAGTGCGCCTCTGTCTAAGGTGGCAAACCAGGCAGGAAAAATGTAAAACAACATTTGCAAGGTTCAAAAATTGTAATTTTTCCTTTAATTTGGCACCTATCCCAGTAACATACACATAAATGTTGCGTTCAATTTCATCACTGTGGTTGTTGTTTAGCTCTTGTGGTGCTATCTAGTCTCTATTAAAGTTAATTGTTTTTCTTTGGCCATGTTATATACACGATAACAGTATTTTAAAGATATTCCTATGTGGAAAACTGTGGGAACATCTGGAGACATTATTCATTACTTCAACAAGGATATTTCATTCACCAATTTAATTATTCTAACAACCTGTAATTATTAACAGCTACACACTTATTAATAACAGCCATTTTTAAAATATGTTTAAAGCTGTTATTCCCTATGATAAACGCTACAGATCTAAAACAAAAAAACCCCACTGGAGTAATGTTAGATACAGATTAAATATAAAAGTCTGCTCTTCTCATTTAAATTAAATCAATTGGCTAAAATTATGTTTTTATTTAGTTTAGTATTCAGTATTAGTTTATTGAATTGTGCAGAAAATAGCTCATAAAAACATGCAGAGAACTGATTTTTTTTTTCAGCCGATTTCAGTTGAAAAACAGCTAACTTGACTTCAGTTGCTGGTCGCCATTGCTCGTCTCTTTCTGCTGTCGCTCATTGCTAACAGCCGTTGGTCTCGTCCAGCAACCGTTGCCCACAAATGTTGCAGCTTCCGACACATCAACGAAAACGGCAACTTTTAAAAACGTCTTCACACGCGGTGTGAAAAGAGTCCGCCAAGGAGAGTGGCACTTACTGGAGAAAAAGGCTATAAGCGCCCTCTCTTTCTCCTCCGTCCAGTACCTCTCCGGAGTGAAGCTGAACGGGGACACCTCCATGTTTGATGTTGCCGTTTGCTCCTTCTTCTACGCGGCTGCACGGTCACGTGATACAGAATCCGATTGCCGATTGGACGATTTCTAGAGATTCCTGAATAAATAGCCATATTGCCCGGTAGAGGTCGCTGTCGGTTAGTGTTGTTTTTCTTTAACAAACAAAAACACTATTTTATGTATTTTATTTATTTTTCAAATTTATTTAAAAATTGCTGAGCTTAGTGATTAAAATCAAGACGACTGACTTAAAAAAAAAAACATTTAAATACATGTATAATAATTCATTATAACTCTTTAAAAGTAACATTAAAAGGTAAAGTTAAGTTAAAATATTAATTAATTCTCACCTTATAGCAAAGGCAGCCAAACACTAAAAACTGCCAATAGCCATAGAGCTTCAATATGGTGGAAGCCTGAAAAATATAGCTTAAAAAAGAAATCAAACTGAAAAATTCTATTACATAGATGCTCAAATCACATTGGAGAAAAATGGGAAAAAAGGATGTGGACAAAAAAGCTGCATATGATAATAAAAAAATGCTCAATTAAATAGAATTAAATTAAATAAAATAGAAAAATGAGCTCAGTAAGTGAAATAATAAGTACAATTAATTCCAAACTGCTGTTATACTTGTAACAGCTGACTACAATAATATATCTATTAAATCACTGGTCTGGGAACTCATTAGACATCTTCTGTATTTCATGATATGGGAAATACAAAGTATTTGAATATGAAACAACAACTAATAACAGCAGGAAACATGCATTTAAACAGAGTTCCAGAGCTCTGAGTGTGATTTGAAGGAATGAATTCACTGTGGGCCCAGTCGTGGTATACAGAGCTAATGCAGGAGGGGCACAGTCAACCATGTGAAATATCCAGTCATTTAAGAAGAAATTTTAAAATGATGAGCTGCAGCTGATTGGGGGTAAAGAGAAGCAGTTATATGGCTCTTGGGAAAACAAATGACAGCTGGTGTGAGTATGGAGAAAGGACTCAGAAGCAAAGTGTTGTTGAACTGCTTTTATTTCCAATAACCAACGACTGGCTCGTACACTTCCAGACAAGACGATAGACAATGTGTATTTACAGCGTACGACCCATGTACACGTGTCCTGTCCATGTACAATATTTACACTGTAGAGTCAGCTGGACTGCTGGTGAAGGAACTGAGTGTATGCAGTGGAGGATCAATTAAACCTCAGTGTGTTCACATACACACTAATATCCTGGCTAGGATCTGGGCTCTGTTTGTACTTGAAACTCAGTCACCCTGAAGTGAATTTTAGAGTTCATTTAATGAAGAAGGCTAAAAAAAAAGCAGATAAGGTAGCTTTTATCCAGCACCATTTGATTTTATTAAGGTGGACCTATTCTGCTTTTCTGTTTTTTCAAGTGACAAATGTTTATAATAAATAAAGCCAAAGTCTCAAACATTGAGGTCAGTGTATGTACAAGCAAGTTTAAACGGCTCTAAGTGTTTGGTACGGATGGTTTTTTCTGCTGTTCGCTCTGTACAATGTCAAAGAGAGGGTCCTTATACGGTTATCAGCATAGAAGCCCCACCCACGTACTGGTCAAGTCTTTGTTAGCGAGGGGAAGCCAATCAGAAAAAGGCTGGCTCGCTCAAAGACCTTGGTAAAAATAAGAAAAATGATTGGACTTCCCAATACGATTTAGCCATAAGTTTGGCTAAGATTTAAAGTAAAAGATCAACTTAGCTGTGAATCATGCAAAACTGAAGTTGAAGAGTAATACATACAGAGCTGGAAATGAGTAGAACAGGCTCAGGTAAAATAGATGCTTCATGGTCTAAAAATGACCAAATATATGCTTAATGGGAAAGTGCGAGTTTCATCTGTTTCACACTCGATGCCATGAGAGGAAGAAAATACTTATCCTTGCAATCTAAAAATATTTCAGCTTTAAGACAAAATATGTTTGATCCCAATAAGCTGACTTTCTCCTGTAGAGTGTGGACATTAGCCAGAAATGGAAGACAAGCTTATCGTTAGCCGAGATAGAAAAAAAAAAAAAAAAAAAAAATAGGAGCAAGGACTTCCTGGTAAATTCAGAAAATGTGCCATTTTAACTCCACTCCAGGTACTGGTCGTACTCCTCTTCCTAACTTCTGCTGTTTGGGTGAATATTTGTGCCTTTTTGTGTGTGTGTGTGTGGAGGGGGGGTTTATGCATAAGAATGACTGGTCTGCAGTGGTTAAGGCAAAAAGTCTGTTTTACTTTTCTTAACAGGAGGTACTTCCTGTTAATTTTAAGTTTGAGTAAATTAAAACCTGATGTGTTTTTTGGGTTTTTTTTTTGTTTTTTGCAGAAAGTCAAAACCTGTTTGGTGGGTGAAACTTTAAGTTTCACATAAATACTGATCATTGGGATACTAGTGTGCAGATAAATATACTCAGGTGTAAGAACGCGAAAATGGACTGGTTGTCCATGTGACCTGAATGAATTTAAAAATGACTGTTGGTCTTGTATAACAGTTTAGCTGCGTAGTCGAACCACCCCACCCTCATCCCACTGAGCTACCACACAACCACAACAAGCAAGCCAATCCCACAGTTCAGTGACAATATATACAAACCATAATATCATTCACATGTACATTTACATTTTAAGGTCATAAAGCCGGTCACTATGTACACTCTGTGCCATTTATACACTTTTAAACTCCTCAGCATACGTTGGAAATCTTCTCTAAAGCTCTTGTAGAATCTCTCTCCGGTGCTTCAAGTATAAGTTCATTCACAGGAATTATCACTGCTGCCAGGGGAAACACATACACCTCATGTCGGCAGTATTTTTGCAAGTTAAAAGTAAAACTTGCATGAAAATACAGGGAGGCAAAGCACCCAGTTGAAGAGAAGAAGACAGGCAAAGACACTGGGTGGCCACAGGTACAGCCGTGTGAGGATGTTCCCACTGCCAGCAGCCAGCAGCACTTTTATAAAGTGACTTTGAAAGATAAAAAAATAAAACACAAGTGATGGAAGATAAGAAAAACAAGGTTGATTGTGAGGTAGAGTCACAAACTGGTACACTAAAGTGGGAAAAATAAAAGTAAAATCTATGTGGTGAAGAGGCTCTGTTGAGAATAAAAAGTTTTAAAAAAAATTATCTGCATCTTTTGGATCGCCTGAGCTTTAGTTTTGCTCTGGTTTACATTTAAAGAAGGAAAGAAACAAAAAGATTAAATTGATATTTCAGGTGGTTGACTCGTCTCTCAGCTTGTCACATTCACACCTCAGTTAGCACTCTTAGTTCATAGCAAGTAAGATACTGTACAATTAAAAAAAAATTAAAAAATAGCATTACCTGTAACTAAAAAAGAAACCTTAACAACAACAACAATAAAAAGAGAGAGTATAAATCAACACAGATGTTTTGGCTGCCTTAAATACGATGCAGACATGTTTCTTTTGTACGAGAACCAGAGAAAAACACAGCGTCAGAATGATACAGCTAAAAGGTAAAAACACCTTTTCTTAAAGATTAAAGATAAACAAAAACCCTTCAGTGAAAACCTCAAATATACTTTCTGTTAAAGTGGGCGGATCCTAAACCAGCCACGCCTCCTTCTCCATTAAAAAAAGCCAAAAAAACAAAAAACTACACAAAACTTGGTCCCTCCTCTTGTTTCCTGTCAGGCAACTAATCGTCTTTGATTCCTCTCTCCGATCGCATGATGACATCTTGTCCGCAGCTCTTTGACGAATCATTACCTCACTGGTCACATGATGTCACAGATCTGTGAATAAAAATGTTAGTCCCACCTTCCAGCAAATAGCTCCCTCCAGCCAATCAGTAAAAGTACACTTAGTTCTGCCGGACGGCAAAAAAAATGTGTTCTTTGTTACAAAGCGTCACTCGATCAAACCACGCCTTTAGCCCCGCCCTCCACCTGTCCATCAAACGATGCTGTCGTGCAGCAGCGGCTCAAAGTCCGCGTCGCAGACTGCGGGCGGGGTCTCCTCATCGCTGCCTGGCAGCGGCGTGTTGATGTGGACACCGGCCAGCGAGGACATGGACTCTTTACTGTCTGGGTGGGGCTTGTCATTGAGGGACAGCTGGGAGGAAGAGGAGGAGCAAGAGGTTTTCTCAGGGATGAAGAGAGCGACAAGGAAAGCGATGACCACGGTGCATGCCCCTAACAGGAAGGGCGGGCCTGGGATTAGTGCTCGCTAGGAGAAAGGGAGAAAAAGAAAGCTAATTTCAACAACAAAGCACATTTAAGTGTAGTTAATTACTGACATGAGGATGGAGTCACCTGCTAATTTTAAGCCTAAAATAGCCAATTGTGTGAATTACAAAAAAAATAAATATCACTGTACAATTGGTATGAAGGAAGACACTATCCTTACAGACCAAAACCACTTCTCTGTAGCAGACTGTAAACTTGTGTACTTTTCTGTAAAGTTGCATTTTGCAAGCCACCTCAAGTGGCCATTAGAGGAACTGCAGTTTCTGGCACATTCAGTTTACAGCCCTTAAGACTTCTCCTTGGCTTGTGTTACTTTTAAATTGTTGTGGAAAACACATCTAGAAACAATCAATGACTCCATGACATCACCGGAACCTAAATAAAGGTTCAATAGAAGAAAATGTCTTTATTTATTTCAAATGGCTGTATGGAATTAAGTTCTCTCATCCCACACTTTTCCTGTGAATGTTGAAGATGACCACATCCCAGTTTTAAAGCCCCAACTTTTTAAGATGAGTAAGGTTATTTTCTCATTGGCCTCTTTGCAGTCAGACTTCTTATTGGGATCATAGAAGGCTCACCCTGCTGGCTACTAAAGATAATGCTGATTTAAGGCACTACAGCACAGACCTGGAAGCCATAACATAACATAGATGATGTACCTGTTGCTCTGTCTATGGCTTTTTGTCAGACTCAGGGACCACAATGCTGGTTTTTTGTACAGCCATTTACCTTGTTGCCAGGTTTCAAAAATGCTGGTTTAGAATTTTTTTCCAGAAGTCACTAGAAGTAAGTAGGCACTAGCGAAAAAGAG